CTACAGTGCAGCTACTTGACGGAGCTGAGAAGTATTTTGGGGATGTTGGTGGCCAGCGTGAGCATGTGTACGATCGGGGTACTGAGCGCCAGAATGGGATCAGGTGAGACGGCAACACATTGAGGACTGCGTTCGGAAGTACACTAAAGGTATTCCGGTTCCGTGGACCTTGTACCAGTCAGTGCAATTCCTTTGGTCATAACGTGCAGATAGAAGAGGAGCGTGACAGCTTCATCCTTGACAGAGAGTGGGAGAGGTTTGCAGTTGGGCAAATCAGCGGACGTCATCTGAGGCGTATCCCACGCCCCACCGAGGGGGCAGCCACGCTACTATTGCTGGAGCTTGACGCGGATCACCGGATTCGACATAGTTGCGGTACCTTGAGTATTGGAAGCGGCCGTTGTTGCGTCCTACTGCGCGGGAAAGGGTAAGCTCCAAGAGACCTTTATTTGGCATTTGTTGTCTGGTCGAAAGACATCTGGCGAAAAAAAAGAAAGTTGTGCGGCATCTTGGCGAGGCTCGAAACCGCAATTATCAGGGGTGTCGGGAAGGTTGCTTTGCATGCTCGATACAAACTTCCCCGCGGCTAAGGCCATCCTCGCAGCTTCCAGAACGAGCTTTCGGGTGTCTCCAACAAACCAAACGCGCAGCATCCAATTCTAGCCAGGCCAGCCCTCATTCGCGAGTTTGAGACTCGTGAGAAACATCAGAATTCGGAGTAATTCGGCGCTTGGAGAGCAGTAGTGAAGCTGGCTACAAAAATGAGAAAATCTGCCAATTTAGTTGCAACTCCAGGGTTACCACAGCTCTTCGAAGCTCTTCCGAAGCTCTTGAGAAGCTCTTCATCGGTTGGCGAGGTCGCCTACACTAACGTGACTAGCTACCATCAGTGGATGTCACGGTGCGAACTGGTGTCCCAAGAGCCACCAAAGACGAGGAGCGCTTGTTGGCCTGGGCTTCCAGATCGGCACAAAGGCTGCAACCCCGGCCCAGGTTAGCTGCAAACCTCCCTGAAGCCTGTGGGGGTGAGACCAAGTAGAGGGAGGGGCCAGAAGAGGTTCCGACACTTACACGATACGTCTTGGTGAGCCTCAGCCCACCCAGATGACCAATCCTGCCAACAACAACGGGTCATACTGCGTGTGGGTGAGGATATGTCGACGTCATGTCTCCTCTGGCGGGACATGGCAGCAAAAGTGCTGGCTCCCGGCTAACCTTCCCATAGTACTTTGGAGTTATTGATGCTGTGACTGGCACCCAAAGAACAGCCAAAGATTCCACATGAGGGCGGGGTAAATCAGGTACCGTTCCAATTGAGTTACCCAAAGGGCGTGCCGATCTACTGTCCCCGTTGCAAAGCGCAATTTATGACAATGCCATACTGCAAGGCAAAAGTCAAGGCGACGAAAGGGAAGCTCGACAGTAAAGCGCGATTTATGCATGACATGATTTCCGTCCACGAGTGCGGGGAAGCTGTTGCGTGTCGGTGTTACCTCCGTGCAGCTTCTCTTCCCGTCTGCCAACCCCAGTAGGCTTTGTGGTCCGAAACAGCCCACGGAGGATTTTGTCGCGTTGCCGTATTTCCCGAGGAATGCTGACAATGTTGGACATGGGATCATCGTCGGGGATATTGAGGATCGTATATGGCCGAGGATTCTTGCGCCAATATGCATCTGTACAAGGGCCTGTGGCCGGCATGGTCAAGACAATCCGGCCCGGTACCGGTGTGCGCGCCGTGGGGGGTTGGGGGGGGGGGGGGTCCCAGATACCTTCGGTGAAGCTCGGTCAAGTTTAGGTAGAGCGAGATGGGCGAGCATCGACATCTGCCTTTGTTTGACGGCCAGATTGACACTACTCGGCAATCTCGAGTTCGAGCGAACCGGCTGGAATACTTGTGCCTTGCATAAGGCTACAGATGGGAAAGTTCCCGTGACATTGGTGCTGGGGGGAACGTCCCAACGGCGAGGAGCAGCTTGATCTTCCCCAGATTGATAAGCTTATCTATCAGTTGTCTCTGAAGATCGCTCGGCCGGTTTGAGTAGTGACAAGGTAGTCCAAGGTGGGTGCCGGGGCCAATCGAGGAGGTTCCTGAGTTCTCCGAGATAGATAAGGAACCGCGGCCCGCATCAGTAGATATTCGTGGGGCCATCGGGACGGACGTCGTTCCGATACCATCGCCATCTACCTATGCTGTGAGGCTACGCCGTCGTTCTCGTTTTCGCCATCGTGGAGAGTGGAAACCTAGGAACAACAAAGATGAGTGAGCACTATACATCTGGCATATACATGGGTACAAACAGCACAAACGACTCACCTCTGTAGTAGTCAGCAAATAAGCCGTCAAACCCCCTACTGGCCGATTGATAATCTTAGGTGTAGTGAAGAGTTTGTAAGACTTTCGCAATCTGCATCCGAACCGGACGGAGAAAAAGTACGTCTACGGCAGTACCAAAAGCTACATGTGGTGAAGGAAGGAATGGCCGATCAACCCCGCGGCTTCCTGAGAAGTACTTGCCTGGATGCACGATACCCTTCCTGCTAGACTAAGAAAATTCTATCTACTTGGAAAAGCAGCACCGATGTCGACAGCGGGACGTCCAAAGCTTGAGAATCACCAGTCGTCAAATGTTTCCTGGAAGGAGTTATCTTCCACACCACCCCAACTTCCGGCCACGACATCGCAGGGCAACATGTCTGTTGCTAGAATGTATCACTGGCGTATCTCGGTTCTTTGATCAGGGATTAGTCAATATGCGACATATCCTCACGTCACTTTTTTGTCATCTGGCTTCGCGGAGGTCCGATCTACGGTCTCTCTCAAGTATTTCAAAGTGGCAAATGTCTTCCAGGTATGCAAGTTCCTCTTCTTATGAGTAGTCCTATCTAATATGCAAAAGGTATCACCTAAATCCAAACAACCCTATGCAGCAAACAGCTTCCAGACCGAACCCTCCATAAACGCCACCCAATGCTATTCCATAAATACATCACGAATACTTCATAACCCCGGCTGACTATGACGACTTGTTCGGCTTCCACGCCTTGATCCACTTGCCAATGACCTTCACCTCTTGCTCAATGGTCGCGGCATTGTCTTCGCCGTTGTTCAGAAGAAAGTCTGGGACGTGGTTCGCTCCCTTGACCACAAAGGTAGCCGTCTGCTCGGTGGTCTTGACCGGTCCGCTAGGGCGATAATCAGAGTTCATCGATGCCGACCTCCAACCGTCATGCTCGCCATCGCAGAAGAGGACATTCTCGAACGTGGCGTTCCAACCACCAGTCCAGTCGTTGAACATGGCCGCCGTGAATCCCTCGGAGCTGGCCGGCTTGGATCCAAACGTTTGTGGGAAGCGGAGATCGCACTGGCGCTGGCGGTCGGCAGGCCGCACGTGTGATGACACGATATTGGTGCCATCCGACTTGGGCGGGCCGACATGCCACCATCCAAAGGGTTCGTTGCAAAGCTGCCAGGTCCAACTGCGATCGGCGCTGAGGTCGTTCGGCCTGTTGTATCCCACTGCTTTTCCATACAAGTCGCATGCTTCCTCGCCCTCGCAAACCTTGCTATACCGGCTGTACATATACGATGTATATCCTTTCCACGCAGCCTTCAAGCCAACACCCGACTTTTCGGTGCCCTTGATAATGTTGCCGTTGTTCGTGCTCGTTTCGATATAGTCACAGAACTCGTATACCGCGGTCTCGTTGCTTGCCCACTCGATGATGGGCCTCAGCAGGTACCACGCAAAGTCGGCATTGTCCTCAAGAGTCTCCAAACCAAATTCTTCCTTCATGGCATCGATCTCCTTGGCGGAGCCCTTGTCAAGCACGCTGTCTACTTGCTTGATGACAAGCTTGACATCGGCAGAGCAGGCTCGCGGCAGGGCCTGCTCAATGGGAGTAAAGAACTGCCAGAAATCATCAATAGCCTGCACGACGGCAGAGCTTGCATGGTAGGCAGCAAAGGTGCCAGGTGCAATGACAGATGTCCACGCGGAAAGGGCGCCAGGATAACTGCCACCGATCAACACCCAAGGAGACTTGTCTGCGTTGGCACCTTTCTTCTTGTCGAAAGGAAGCTCGACAGTTTCGGCGAAGTGGGTGTTGTCATAGATGGCCTGCGGGACATTGAGATACTGCAAGGTGTCGGCTGTGAAAGTCTTGAAGGGGAGAGATTTTCCGTAATACCGGTCTATAACGGTGAGTGTCAGTTTAGCAAAGTCTTCTTGCGGACTTCCCAATAGCTGACTTACGCTCCATCAGGACAATCGCGCCTTTGTACGTCTCAGCATACAAGTATGTCAAGGTGCCGTTTTCCAGATAACCGGTCAGGCCCTCAGCATCACCTTCACCACCATTTAACATGAACACGGGATATCCTGGGCCGCCCCAGTGCTCCGAATTATACCAGTATCTTTGTTTGAAAGTGCCCTTGGACAAGTCGGTATGGTCTAGATACTGGTCGAACGTGCCGTTGTGGACCTGCGTCCCCGAATGCGCTCGACGTTGGAGGCCACCCATCTTAGGGAATTGTGATAATTGCGGCGCCTTTAGTTGTGGGGTCGGAATTGAAGCCATCACAGTGGCTGCTAAGGCCACTGCGGAAGCGAATATTGATGCCTTCATGATGAAACAGGTGCTCGACAATGTAACAAACAAGAGAAAAGGGAAAGGTCTTGCTAGAGGTTTGAAACTGATGGATATTCAGCTAGACTAATACCTAGAGAAGCGTGTCCTCCTCGATCATATATCCTTCAACCTCCGGCTACTCCAGAGAGCCTCGGACACTGGGCCCTACATCGACAAGGCCGCAATATCACTCAGCCTCAACCGCAGGTACAAACTACCGTAGAAAGGAAGAGAACCCCAGCCAGTGCTCAGAAACTAGTATCGCCGCAAGAAGGCTCTCAATCTAGCAATCTGACAGCTTAATAACCTGTTCTCTATTTTCTCCGCGCTGGACACCAGATTTCGGTCCATGTACGAAGGTGTGATTCGGGCTAGAGCCTGCTTAGACGGGGGGTGAAAAGCAACTCCTCTGAGTGCGCCTCCACCATGCAATGGCAGCGTGGCCGGCGAGGTAAGGCAATATTCTTGGCAAAAGGACTAGCGACAAGGTGACTGGAGCATTTCAGGTTCATCGGTCAACTAAGCGGTCGCCTGGTAGGGCCAACATGGGACGGGCTGTTGAGGTGGATGGACATGCAGCCCGTGGGATTCGCTAGTAAGCTAAGCTTATTATTACCCTCAAATCCTGGAAAATCCTACATTGGAGCTCATGGAACCGGTTCGCCTGCAACGCACGAATGGCTGGCGTTACCGCGTTGGTTGTTGCTATTCGTATGGTGTGGTCGGGTTTAATCCTCCCCGCCTGCCTCAGCCCCGAAAAAGCTGCGGCCACCCGCGTCGCCTGTCTCGCTACTATTTTGTTTTTCCTTTCCATGGAGGGCTGTGCGGCCGTGCATTCTCGCCGGCTGCTGATGCCCGCTGGATCCTACTTCTTGTTTGTTGCTGCCTAGGCTGCAAGAAGCCCCTCCAAGGCTGGGCTGAGAAGCTGACTGCATGACCAACCTGGTCTAGTTTCTATTTTTGGGACGAACTTTTTGATTACCAACAACGGTTCGATGATACTGGGCAATAGTCCTCCTTGGACCAGAATTTTGCTCAGACACGCCGTTGCCTGCCCTAACCGTCCCTACTGTTCTGGGCTCCCGTTTTCTGTGTCTTTACACTCACGATCCGGTTATCGTCTCGGGTCCCCGCAGCCCGCCCCCATTCCGTCCGTCCCGTATCGGTCCTGTAAGCTCCCGGGCCGGACCCGCACCCCACACCGGATCCGAGTCTCGTTGTCCTCCCCCTTCCCTGTACTACCTTACCTTCCGATCGGGTCGGCATTAGGTATCGTCCGAACCCACCGCCCGGTTCGGACCGGGTGTAACAGTAACCCCCCTCCCCTTTCCCAACACACATAAGTACAAACAAGGCAAGTCGCACAGAACCGCACAAACCGCCCGCTGGCACTCGCTGGCACTCGGTGACGATCACACGTTCGTCAGATGAGACAGCAAAATGCCATTCAACAAGATTAAACAATCTTTCCCTTCGGGAGGCGCACAGAAAGACAAGAAAAAAAAACGATAAACAGTGTGCGTGGTACAAAGATACAACCCAGAAGCCAGGTGAGAAACTGAAAAGTAGCATGTTAGCGGGCCGGGTGTGAGGGAGGGTTAAAAAAGAAGAAGGGGGGGGGGGGGGGTTTGATGGAGTTTTCCGTAAGCCCAATAGCCTACCTTGGACAACCGACACCAAAGGTACCAGGGAAAGAAAAAGGTCTCGGGATTCGAGTGATCCCACCACATCACCCACGGCTTCCCGAGCGCCGGACTACGTGGCTTGTGTTTTTTCCCTGTGTAACGCTGCCGGCGCATATTTACTTTTTTTCCCTTTCACTCCGGGAGTCGGGGGAGACAGAGTGACTGACATTGGTAGTCGTCATCAACATGAATCGTAGATTACACAAAACACGATAGTAATTGCCAGCCGGAGCCTTGGACAAATAGCGCCGCATTCGAGTAAGGTGAGATACAAAATCCCATCCAGAGAAAAAAGGCCGGTCGGCGCGTCATCGAGAGAACCCCTAAACACAACGCCCGCAACCTTGTCAACCCTGGATTCCGTGTGGCTGGCTGGAGCTGGGGAGTGTGTCTCTCTGGTGGGCTAGAACTAGGTACTACTTACGGTCCTCCTCCCCTCCAAGGGTTAGGTTGGTTTGGTTTGGTGGATTGGAATGCGCTCCCTTTCGGTCAACTTTTGACATGCGAAAATTGGCTACGCAAACACCGCGCAACGCAACGCGTACCTGGGAATCGGTAAACCTTCATTCCAGGAAAAACAGTTCGAGACATTGTTCCAGTGCCGAAACATGTTAGGGGAAAACGGACACGGCCGGCGTCGTACAGAGACAGGCCTCTTTGACTGACCTGACAAGACTGACTTGGCTGGTTCCTCATTTTTTGACTCGAACTCAAATCGAGTTCGACTCGACTCGACTTCTGACACGCTTCCCCCACGTGATCGAAACGCAACAAACAACTGCAAGCAGAAAGAGACGAGAGAAATACCACGAGGAAATTGCGTGACGTGAACGTGACGAGAACGTGGCTCAACGTTCGCGGCAGGCAGTGCCAAGGGAGAGAGAGGACTCTCTATCAGTAAACTTTCGGCATGGATTATTAGCATTCGTCTTGTTGGAGCCCTTCCCTTATGTGGCGCAACTTATTGCACCGCGGAACAACTCTTCGTAAATACGGTGATGATTATCTTTTCTTTCTTTTTTCTAACGCTCTCTCATGCTGATTATGCCCGGTCGACATTTTCCTGTGACTTCTCGCTCCGCAGCGAAGGGGGTGGGGGGGAAGGGTTCGTCATGGCTTCGTATCCAAGACTATAACGCACTCGTAACTTCTGTCTGAAAATATCACACGCGCTCAAATACAATTCCCTTACACAGCGTTCCCATACATCATTCCCCATATAATCATGTCTCGGGTTGGGGGCCTAGAAGCCTCTCCCACCTGCTCATCTGACCCCTTCAAGAATAACTCCCGCTGAACTGGGGCAACGGGTTGCCACCGGCCATCTGCGTGTAGAAGGGGGGCTTGAGCATGTCCCAGTCACCAATATTGGGCGCGCAGACCATACCGCCCGTCGTGAATTCCTGAATGTCCTCAAGCATAGTGCCGAATCGCTGACCCTGGTTCTGCTGCACATATGAATCGATGCTGACTGTCTCGGCATTGACATTAGCCATCGCAGCCTCGTTTGATAGGGAGCCGGGAGTTGGCGGGAAGCCCTGAGATGGTGAGTGATGTGGAATGCCTCCGGCATAGCCTTCGTGACCGGCTTGCTGGTGGAATGCGGCGGCGTTGATGGCGGTAAATGACGATGCTTGGCGGGAATCCCTCCGGCTGTCCGAACCGCTCCCGCTGAGATGAGAATACTCAGGTCCCAAGGAAGAGCTTCTTTCCAATGTGCTAGCCCGCGATCCATCAGAGCCGTCGTAGGCTGTTGGACGGTCGTCGTCCATGATGATGCCGTTGCTCGTAATCTTGTCGGCCTTTGCCCTCCACTCTTCCAGTCCGCCGCCACCTCCTCCCAGTCGAATGGTCAGAGAACCATCTCCGCTCTTCTTCGAACCTCGATTTGTGTAGTCGGAGTAGACCTTGGTGAGATACTGATCAATGTCCTTGAAATACGTGACGTAATTGGAGGCCATGCTGAAGTAAGGTGCAACCTTGGTCAATGCTTGGAAAGCGATACTGGTGTTCCCCGTCTGCGTGTTTTCAGACATGGCTCCTGAATTCCGTTCTTCGATCTCCTGTTTGCTGACCATGTGGTTTTGAGTATCCATGTGGGGATAGTGCCGTGCGTATATTCCAACAAACGCTGCTTGCCAAATTGCGAATATGACTAGTGACGAATGAGGAAGCTTGTCCCGGCATGTCGAGATGAGGTCGATGATTTCCCTTCCAGCCTTGAAAACCTGCTCTGCGCTTCGCTCCCAAAAGTGGTCGGGAACAGTTTCGGGGTCAAAGACGGGCTCGTCCAGAGGACCAACCGGCTCGGAACATTTGATGGCGATGAACGGGATGTATTCGCGATGCAGCATGATTTTGCAAAGGGCACCCAGCATGTGAAGTGACACATACATGCTGTTGTCGTGTTTCCAGAAGTTCGAGCTAGACCAGGTGAACTCTTCCGGAAGGTGAGCATAAAAGGCATCTACCTTCTTATTCAGTTGATAGAAAGTCGACTCTTGGTCCCACGGCGGAAGGGATTCCGTATGGCGGCCGCCCGCGAAACTGTACTTGGTGATATCGCCCCAGAAATCTGCTAGTTGCACGAATCGACTCAAGACACTGTCATCGATTGGTGGCTCCATGCCATGTCCCACCTGTCGTAAGAATCCGGTATAGACAACGCGGCCTAGGTCGAAGGCGTGTTCAGTGCATGGCAGCTGGATTTGAAGATCGTCGGACCGAACCATGGAAACCCGATCAGATCCGCAGGACAAAAGACGGTCCAGTATCAAGCAACTGAACATGGTACGACGCCTAATCTCCTGGTCTTTCCAACGGTCTGAGGGTAGTTGAGTAGATTTACTCGACCGAGGAGACAGAGTCAAATTTCTCCTCCCTCTCAAAGGCTTGTCTCCGAACCCCAATTTCAAGCCTTGAGCCATCCGTATGGCAACGCCAACATACATCCATGCCGCTAGGCCGCCGTTCGGCTGGCTCCATTTGTACAAGCCGAGCATGAGAAAAGCTTGGACACGGACGACAGTAGCTGATGTCAGGGCTGATTCGAGTTGTCCCAGTGCCTTTGTAAGAGCGTTTGCGAAGTACTCTGAGGCCATTGATGGCTCCGGCCTGGGTAGAGCACCGCGAGATTTTGGGCCGGCGATTTTGTCATGTGTGATGTGCGCCACATATTTGACCAAGTCGGGATGAAATCTTGCAGTGAGAGCCAGAATGCCCAAAAGGATCAGATTTGATTCGGTTGACGGCTTCTTGATGTCTTTGTCGTGAATGATACCCTTGAGAGTCGGGAGATGTAAGAACGGGAGTTCGGTAGCGAAGTGCAGCTTATATATGTCGAAGAGTTGATGCCACAAGTCGACGGTAAGATAGGGCGCCGAAAGCACTTCCTGAGCAAGCGCAGCGACAGTACGTCCATCAGAGGACGTGGCATCCTCGAGCTTCTTCACTCGCTTCCGGTCATGCCCGACTTCCCTTTCCTGCTTCGGCGCAGTCGGCGGTTCTGATCGTTTCGCCGGAAGAGGTGTTGGATCAGGAAACTCACACTTGTGTCCTGCCTTGATGCACGTGTCGCAAGGCGATCCAGTATTGTCGTTGTCGCATTTGATTTTGGATTTCCTGCATCTCAAACAAGCTATGCTGGATCTCATCGGCGGCCGCATGGCTCTAGAGGGCCTCTTGGCACTTGTGCCTCCCGCCAAGATCGGCCTCAAGTCATCGTCGTCGGGCAGGACGGAAGTGTGAAATCTGGCCCCTCCCGAAGCTTGCCTATCTGCGGGCTCTGCTACAGCGGGGGGCGCGGAGGTTCTCTCCGAAGGCGAAAATGTTTCTTGATATCTCCTCTTCGGCGTGGTGTGAGTAGAGGACGCTGTAGGTGCGTCATCGGAATCCGACGCGGGAGAGAGTATAGACTGGATGCGAAGTTGGGAAGAAATTGTGACGGTTCGGGCCTGTTATAGACCCGTGAAGCCAGTGAGGGGTGGCGGATGTTTGAGCGCAGAAACCTTGACGAGATACTCGGTGCACCAAGAACCAGTGGGCTCCCCTCCTGTAGAACCCGCGCTGCGCCAGTATGACTGTGCTCGTGGCAGAGTGACTTGAGATAGGGGAGGGCAAAATACGCAGAGTTGGACGACTGTGACCAATGTTTGTCGAGGCGATGCTAAGTAAGGCAGGCCTCAAGTGGCACAGATGAGCAGGCAGTGGCTGTCGACAGCTTGCAACCGACGGGTGTTTGCTTCCAGGTGCTACACGAAATACCTGCAGTGTGTCGGGTAACTCGCACTCCACGATAAGTGTCTGGACGAATTCGGGTTTGACAGGTGGTCAGGGTGCGATGACTGGACAGACGCAGTCCTACTTCTTTGCTTGCGGAGGTGGAGAGCTCAATGAACGAAGCTTTGGTGATGGCAGGTAAGGCTGGTATCTCGGGATCGATGATGCATGCAGTGGTTGGATAAGCGAAGTTTGGCTTGTAACGATGAGTCTGAATGAACGCTGTGCTGGTGAAAGCGTTTTGGTAAAGAGAGTTGCCCTGCTGGAAGTGCGTAAGGTCACAATTCGTAGGGAAATCAGGGAAGTGGGATTGCGAATTTAATCGGGGGTGGATGTGGCCGACTTGAGCAATAAGCAATGAGTGGTGGTCTGAAGCTTGCGTTCCCACGAAGTACCTACTGGCCGGGGTGCAGGGAGGCGTGGGAGGGTGGGCAAATGGTTGAATTCTAGCCGGCCGTGCTGTCGGCCCCCAAAATTGACTGTGTGCCGGGCGTCACCGGCTAGCATTGCTTGCCCGCCTCTCCCTTGCTTGTTGTCTCTCGTGATGAAGCTGGCTTTGTCCCTCTGCTCTCTCCATTACGGAGGGGTTCTCCGGCGCCGACTAGATCGATAGAGTCTGGAATAAGCATGTTTGCTTCTACCCCTTCGTCGCCGTCGTCCGGGCTGTTGGTTCTGCTACAGTAATTCTATGGGGACACAGTCAGAACAGCATAGCAACACCGCCAAGTGAACCAAGCCTGTAGAAAAGGCGGGTGTGCCATCCGTATGGTGTGAATGTCCATGCTGGCCACACACCAGGCCCCATGTCTCTGATCAACCCCACGCGCAGAAGGAATGAGGCGGGCATTGGTGGGAGGGCACGAGGGGTCGCTGTGGACGGCCCAGGTCAAGATCAAGGTCGGCCAAGCAAGGATGTTGGAACGATTTCTGGATAGTGCCAACCGGAACAGACGAGCGAAGTTGCTCTCCATCCCCGAGGGAAAGTACATTTGCATTCACGAGGGTCCTGTTGGACGGCGTGACAAGTCCCTTCGCCGCTTTCGCTGAACATTTTGTGCATCTTGGGTCTGAGACTTCGAGTTTTTTTTAGTTTTTTTAGTTTTGTTTTTTTCGCCTGAACATTATTCGTGTGATATGCCAGAGGGATACAGCTTCTTGTTGGGCCAAACGCTTGGCTTGGGAGACGAGTGCCGTATGACGGATCCTCGTACCTTTTTGATAGTCTGCCGTCCAACTCCAGTGCCTCTGCTCAGCGGTACATTTGGTCCAGATTTGGTATTCGACCGGACGGCCCCGCAAGATGGCTGGGGGGGCTGTTGTGCTCAATCCTAGCATATTGACCTTTATTCGAACGATTCTAATCAGCGGGAACTGTTGTGGAACATTTGGCGGCAATGAAAGGCGGGATATCTCAAAGGTATCGTCATCAGGTGGCAATTGACGGCTGCAATTGTGACGTGAAATAATCGTGAAGATCACAACTCCATGCTTCTCGTGGTTCCAGTATCGCCGTCCTTTCCGAGGTAAGTGCAAATGGTGATTTGCATCTTCTAGGTTGCATCCCCATCGCGTGTTCCACGGCCGGCTTCTATGTAGGTTGACTGACAGAGCATACGGATACACTCGTGACTCTCAATAGCAAGGCGACTGGGACAAGGAACGGATGATCGGCGTGGCTTTCCTGCTTAGTTGTCGCCTCTCTGCAGAGCATTTCGGCTTTCGTCTGGCGCATCAAGGGAAAACCAGCCATGCCCACGCCCCCGCGCCAACATCACCTGGGTTGCTTCAGGACTGGAACAGGCATTATCCCGCCCGACGTGGGTTCTCTTCGTCTGGGGACGCAGACGGCCGCGGATCGGTCAGCGGGCATCTGGCGCATTGACTCTTTGCTCCGAAGGAGGCGCGGGAGTGGCCCGTGTTGACCGCAAAAAAACGTACAACTTCAAGGTGGCAGACCGGGGGGGATGAGATAAGATGGAGCTTGGTTTGCTGAATTCATAGCGTGCGCCGCAATATGGCCCGCGCCGCGAGCAACGTAGCCGAACGACCCAGGGTTCCAGGCATAAGGGACCGCTGACGGTGGTGGTGCCGATGCTGACCCCCCCTTCCCTTCCAAAGCCTAAATGGCCACAAGGAGTCTCTATGTCCAGGGGTGGATGGCGGCGTCTGCCTTGGCTATGCTTTTGCATTTCGGTCCGCGTCCCAGAATGCCTGGTCCCGGGCTGCACATCGACCGATCTCAGGTCGATTAGTGATTGATTGATACGAAGGCGAGAGGTAGCGTCGGCAACAGGCTGGCTGTCGCTCCGCCGTGCGTACTCCGTATACCAGCCAGACCTAAAGTCCATTAAGACTCCTTTCCCGAGGCTCCGATCGTTGACACTGACACTGCATTTGACAAGTCAGAGAACGGTAAATCATGGCCCTATGAAGTGAAACTGAAAAGAAAGCAATCGGCAGTCCGAATTCGGTATGCCTCCGCCGACAGTCAGCCGAGCAGATTCCAACGACGAAGATCCAAATTAGCGCCGTACTCTAGACGTTTTACTGAAGACGCAGGCAATGAATGTTGCATGGATTCTAGTGGCTCGTCCAGACTCGCAAAGTTTGCATACGCTATTTCCGTCAAGAGTGTGGGAACATCGGTAGCGACGCAACAGCACTCTGTAGGTGCGAAGCATGTATGGATGGAACCAGACAAGGTTTGCCCAGCTGCCCTGTCCGAAATATCGAGGTTCGTGGGATGGCACCTTGGAATGCGGATAAGCCCGCAGAGACGTCCCCCGGTCGTTTGAAGGTTCTCCATTTGCTTGGCCCAACTCGGCCCAACTTGCAGGGCAGGTGATGGAAGGGCCAAGCAGCGTCTGCATCTGAATGGCTCTGCTCGTCCAAGATGCGGTGCTTCTTCACGGTTAGGCGTAAGTGGAGGCAAGCAGAAGAGTCTACATAGAAGAGTCTCTAGGTGAATGAGCGGAATGGTTCGGATCTGGCTGCGATCCAACCATTGTGAATGATGAAGTGATTCCGGGACGAGTCTGCGCCAGAGGCAATGCTGCTTGGTATGTCTCGCGGGGGTTTCGGTTGTTACACGAGAAACGAGACAGAGAATGCCAGTGGAGGCGACGCGCCATGCCACTCACCCGAATAGGCATTAGTTGACCCTGTAGCAGTAAGGGGACTAGAAAGCCATACCGCCATGGTGGGCGGGTGTCGCGGGTCGAGGCGTTTGGATGGGAAAAAGAGAGAGGGAGAGGGCGAGGTAGGGGGAGAAGGGAGAAAACATTGTGAGCGCACGACTTCCAGGTGGTTGCGAATGCTGCTGGAGGGTGGATATGTACCATGGATACCTTGACGATGTCCTATGTGGATACTTCATCCCGTGGGCCGTGTGCCCTTCACCCCGTGAAATCACAGTACGTACCGTCTTACTAAGAGAATCCAGGTGCGCCAGGGCCAGGGCAGGCACGCCAGGCAACCTACCTTAGGCAGCCGGAGCCGATAACAGGTGGAAATCTATGAGGCAGGTTCGACGGACAGGGCCTGCCAGCTGGAGGCCGTTTCCGTGTAACCCCAGGGAACACCACTCGTTGCTCACGTGGTACAAAAGCGGGGCAACTCTAAGCTGGCAAGCTCTCCCGTCCTCACCTCACATCACCTCACCCCTCACACTTTCTGCAGTCTCCCCCTCCTCTTCGAAGTCGAGTTCTCAAAATGGAAGTCAGCCATCTTATTAGGGTACCAAGCAGCAGCATCCATGAATGCGCGCTTTCAGCTCCGACTTTTCCTGACCACTCCCAGCATCTCTTCAAAGGAGCGGCTGGAGGAGACCTGGTTGGTTGTGCCTCTCAGCAGCATCTTCAGGGATCGTCCGTCATAGTAAAGTCATGTCTGACCGCCCCTTCATCCCGATGCCCTCAGTGAAAGACAGCTTTCCTCGGTGTCTGGGTCCGGCTTCCCACTGTCACTACCCATGAACAGATATCCAGGTCATGTCCCCAGGTCTTTCCTATTTGTACCAGACCTATACTCCGTACTCCGTACATCCTTGGCTCCGTAGGCCGTAGACATCCCAAAGAGCCCAGGACCGAGAGATTGCCCATTGCCTGCCATGGTCGGGCCGCCTTGCACCTCAATTCGAGCAGGGCTGAAGAGCATTTCTGCACGTCACATCTCGGACACCGCTGATGTCCGGTGAGGGGGAATACCGCTGGGTTCAGGGCGGCCAGAGTGCCGTCTGGGTGAGGTACGGATGCGCGCTTCCCATGTCTTCGTATGTCTCACTCTGCCCGCATCCCGGCATCTAAGCATTCGCCCTATCAACCTCGGCCATGTACATGATAGCAATGCCAGACAAGAAGAATAGGTATCAGTATCCGTAAACCAACTCTGTTGTTTAGGTCGCCTTGGCAAGGGCCCAGCAATGTGGTTGCGCTCCCTCTCCCCGACATCAATGAGGTAAGGGAGAGAAAGATACCGGCTTGCAGGGCAAAAGCCAACCAATTCCCTCCACGGATGAACTCATTTCCTCCTGCCGTCGATCGATGATTCGATCCTATTACGGAGACACAGACCTATCCCGCCCACAACTTCGCCGGGGCCTTCCCTAACATTCTTTTTTGAGATATCTCTGCCTGCCACCATCGCACCATCACCGCCTCTCAGGCAGTCACGTCAACTTCATCATGTTCTTACCTTGTACCCTGAATTTTACCGGACGAGTGTCCACACTGCATACATGATCACTTTCTTTCTCATTCTACTCATCATGAGGCTTGATTCCCCACAAACCTCTTATATATGACTCGGAGTAGCCAAGGAAGTCAGCCGCAAGCGTGTTATCGTCTGCTCTTCTCATCGGCATTCCTCCTAAATTCATACCGAAGCTCGGCGGCCGCTGTATCGATTGCATCGGGCAGCAAGGATTCCAAACCACTCAGGAGCCTACTCTTTCAAGTATCAATTTTCACGCAAGCCTCTCCAGCCCGAAAAAAAGTATCAAAAGGACCCCCAAGACGGCAGCTGTCTAGGCCGGCCACGGGTGACTTACATCCCTGCAGCTCTCATGTCTCACAAATTACCACACGTCATTCCCAGCCATTTTTCAGCCCTCCAGCAGTTCCAACGAGGCAAGCGAGGGAATGGATTGGCTTCTCTCGCGTAATACGAGAAGCCTTCCGGACCGATCGTTGCCAAGTTTACCGAATTGGTGGAAAAGGGCGCCATTAAAGTTAAGACAAGCAGTGAGCCTCTGCCCGTTTTCCCTCATGCCCTCCGCAAAACACACCTGAACCCGCAAGACACTGAGGCTTTGGACGTATTGCCCGCCACCTGCTTCGCTCAGAGACTCATTCATTTCATGTAACACATGTCGCAACCGTTATTCACATGCTGTCTCAATACTTTTTAGAGGTTGATAATGCCAGCAATGGTGAGATCGAGATCACATGCTGGCCACAACGAAACAGAACAGTCAGTCAGTTCACGATCATAATGCCCGATTGAGCTTTACGAGGTACATCTCTGGAACCGTCTCTGATCCCTTCTTCAGCCGCGCCCAACAATATCCAATTCAATTCTATTCAGTGAACCGGCTACATACCCAGTGGTAATCTCGGTAATGCACATCTCACTATCTCAAAGGGTCTCGACCGAGAAGCGAGAGACAACAGGTGGAGGGAGTGGTTTGCCTTACGAAACAAACACGCATGCAGAGTGGTCCAGATTCCCTTATATGGAGAAGTTCTGCTCACCGAGTCCATTTGGCACGGCATTCAACGCCCCTTCATACCGGATAAAGCGGCTAAAGGACGTCCATCTAGCCTCATGGCATTTTGCTCAACACAGGTTAGCTTTCCGGCTCGACATGCGTCCCCACTCCGGATCTCGGAGCCGGACAGCTTCCGAGTTTCTAAAGGATGGCATTCTGCCCTTTTCCCATATCAGCGAGTCATCAGAGTTCCCCAAGAATCGCGGACGAGCTCTTTCCCGAGAGAAGAAATACCGTTCTCGGGATGTGGAGTCGTTCCATGGAGGCGGGATACACTTGGCCCTGCATTCTCTCTCAGTGTCTATTTTGTCACTTTTCAGATTGTAGGCTCACGGAAAATCCCGTTCATCGAGTTTTGGATCGAAGGGAGCCTTCTCGATTCATGGAATTTACAATTGCTACAAGTCACAAGTAAGAAATGGGCGGCCAAGCCTCACCAGTCGTCTACGTAACCGGAGTCACGCCTGATAAGCTTCACCCATGACATGTTAAAATGCGCAAGCGAGACTTGGTTTACTCGCCTACGGCCGGATGCTCGTCTAATTTGCCTTTAAGCGCTAAGGTCTTGATCCAGAATTGCGGGTGAGCATGTGGACAGGTGCACACTTAGTATCTAAAGTAGGCATCTCATATACAACAAAAAAAAAACAAAAAAAAAAAAAAACACATGGGAAGTCTACTAATCGAGAACTCTGCCGCCGGTTACCTGCCCCACATCATCCTCGTCTCGAGGAAAATCAACTTTCCCATCATCAACAACAACATTCTTTGTACGACGACGATCCACCCTCCAAAATGCCCTCTTAGTTCACGCCCAATGACGACTAGGAATCCAAAAGAAAGACCGGGCAATGGAGACTCCAATAGTTTTAACAAGCGACAGTTGATGCTGATTGGCGGAAGTACCAACCCAAGCCCTGCAATTACATTGCAATGTTGTGGAATAAGAAATAATCATAGTTCGCAACCAGCAATCTACCGGAGCCGAACTGACCAGTGAGAGCACTGTCGGCGTTTAAGCCGCCTCACAAAGTTTCCTAGCGTACCGTGGATTTTATAAAGTCAGTACTTAGTGCTCGCCTGGATAAAGGTTCTACTTCTAGTTTAGGGAGAGGGGGAAGGGGAGAGACGACCATCTGGGAATGTGCTTTGAAATGCTGTGGTTTTGCTTGGGTCTAGCTTTCTTTCCAACAATCAATGAATGACGCTACTACCCGTTCGCGGCTCTGCCATCGTTTGACAGCCAGTCCTTGACAGCCATGTTTCTCTGGTTTACTGCTGTATTTTTCTTTTAAATCTTTTTTCGGATTCTTATCCGCGTTCGTGAACGACTTCAAGTGGCTTGGATTTGGGGGCGGCGGTCGAGCTTTTCTCGGATAGAAGCCATTCCGATTTCGCGAATAGACTCAAAAACCCCCTCAAGCTGGAATCCCTGGACAACCCAACCGTCTGCCTGCTGCTCACAACAAGACGCCAAGTCGCAACCAGCCAGGCCTTTCAGGACGAACACCCTGCCACGTCCTTCTCAATCCTCAACAGCACAGAGGGATTCCCACCGACCCCTCAACCGGTCACCGCTTCCCCCTTACGGCCGGAAAGCCAATCATCGGTGTATGTTTCCGAGACTCTGGTGTTTCCAGAACCTTTTCGCCCGCTCGCTGTCTCTACTGAAGCCTTAAAGTATGGGGGTGAGGTAATCGAAAACGAGAAAACCTGCTCAACGTCTGTGGCGAGCTTTGATGCCATACACATCATCCGGGGAAGGTTCTGCCGGAAGGTTCCGCCGACAGTTGGGACTTTCCAGCCTCCCGCACACGTTACCTGCAGAAGTTACTTTGCCTTGCTCATTGACACTCGGACTAATCATCATCCACGCTGACCTACATATTGGCGATGCCAAGGTGAAGTGGTTCTATCCCTTTGGGGGTGCAGTACCCAGATGCTTCGAGATAATTCACAATTTGGAGCTCCCAACGAATGTACGTCTCGTACACCAGCAAAAGGAAAGATGGAAACTCAAGCTTCGCTACTACATCAATGTTCCAAGATGTCTCTTGTTCTGTGTGAACGGGTTTTCAAGGCGGTCTTCTCGAAAACAAGTTGTAACCTGGGACCCATCTCACTACAGCGATAACCAACGACGAAGCAAGAGGACCTCGCAACAGCACACCTCCTACCTGACAGACTCTGTTACTGCCTACAGTACCCACTCATATTGTGGATATAAAAGCAAGTACCAAAGCCGTATCAACGCCTGACTTGTTGGACACAGTGATCTGGAGAGCACCGAAAGCAAGTTCGAAGTCGTCTTCGGTGTCATAAACATGAGTCCGGATTGCTTCTTCCTGTTGTTTAAGGTTATGCGACCTTGACCTGCTGTCAAATCTATTGGCTAAATGAATACACTCAGCAGCAGCAGTAGTAGCTGGCACTTTTGCTTGTTTCCTGTATATTCTAGCCCTTATAATAGAAAAACATAGATGATAGATCAAAGACGGAGCCAATGTCTTGTTTATGGGAACTCTGCATCGAAATCATGGATTCTCGTCACCTTTGTATACAGATAAGAACATAGGTAAGCGCTAAATTCTCAAACAAGCAGGGAAGTGTTTTTCATCCCGACACAAGAGAAGAGTAACTGTCAACCCTCATGATAAGAATATATTTATTGTGTCTGACCTCCCGATGTCTCCATGAAGCCAAGAAACCAGAGCAAATCATATTTCTTATCCTGAATCCAATTGACCAAACAACTTTGTCTCATGCGTTCCCTGCTCATTCAAATGTGGGCATCAATCGCCATACCACCGCTCCTTCTCCACGCCAAATGGCTGAGATTAATCACAACCACAAGAAAGGAAGCCAGTGTGCATCTATCGTAGCAGCTTCGGCTTTCAACCACCATGGTTCTTTAACTGTCAGCTTTCTTGACTATTAACGTCAGATCCCGAAACCCGGCTGATACCATATGAAAGAGACTGAGCCTCTCTTTCATGTTGGGATCACAGCTTGTAAGATAAAGATAGAACATTTCATCATGAGAACGGCCTCATCTTCTAGTCGCACACTATTATGGATTACATGAACAATCTCTTGCCTCGCCTGGCTTAAAATCCTGAAATTCACTCAGAGCTTCCCTTACAAAGCTCGCAAACTCGGCCACGATCCCTCCCCTGAAACGCTTATACTCCGCCGCCCTCACCGCGACGTCCCCAAACTCATCGTTCCCGCCCGTAAGGTCGTTGAAATCCTTGAAGGCATACAGGAACCTATGCCACAAGATACTAGGCTCGGCTCCGTTCATCACATTGGCGGCGGCCTTGACTCGAAGGAACAAGCTCTCCGCGGACGACTCGTTGTACTCATTCCCCGCCGATCCGCCATAATACCCGTTTGCCGTCGTCGTCATGTCAACGGTTCCCGTACCGTGCCCGGTAGTGCTGTTTGCTTCGTAGTTCACGAGGACCCAGCACACGTACGAGAGCACCTCCGCGTGCGAGATGCCGAGATCGTTCCTGGCACGGCAGGCCCATCCAAGCCAGCCAGCGCCGTCTTCTTCTCCTGCTTTTTTGACGCCCTCCTCGACCTTTTCAGCTTCTTGCTGCAAAGTCAGTCTATACCATAAAGTTCCATACACTTCAAGGTGCTCCTTCCATATCAAATCATCCTGGCTGTGAGGAAAGCAGAGATCGGGCCGTTTTGTCTGTTTTGTCTGGGCGAAACCTGTACAGACTTCCTCGAGCCTCTGGCTGCACCACTGCACGCACTCCCTTAGTGTATCGAGAGCCGCAGACGTCGTCGCCCCGTTCTTGTCTCGCGAGAGGACCCAGCCTTCCAGGCAGTCCAGGAGGATTCGGAGCTTGTCTTCTTGCGACTTATCGAGACACGCCGAATAGCGCTCGTAGATGACGTCTAGCAAATGGAAAGCAAAAAGATCAACAGTGCCATCTGCCTTGAGCAGGAAGCCTTTCCCAGACCTATCGAGGATTGAAGAAACGGCGTCGGTGACGTTTCTTGCCATGGGACCTTCCAGTTGGAGTTTGTCGTTCCTACATCTCTCATCATTCATGCTTTCCAAGACGTGGACATACATCAGGATATGTTGATCGCCTGACTGAAGCTTGTGTTGCCCCAGTACATCCAACGCTTCCTGAATTTGTTGTTCCGTCTCGGCTGATCGACATAGGGCCACAAGGCGGTTTGCATGCCCCTCAGTGTTGAGATAACCGTCTTTATATGCGATCCAAGCGAACCCATCGCCGCCGCCGCCGGCAGCGAAAATTGCAGTCGCTGCTTGGATTTCTTGATTGGCTTGATCATACTTGTATGAGCCGTCTTGGAAGATGGATTCGATCGCAAGTTGATCTTGAGTTACACCATACTTCTTGAAACCCCAAAGGCCTAGTCTGTAGACAATTTGGCGCTTTCTGAACAAAGTTAGTAACCATGTAATTTCAGAGTGCAAGAGGGAATACAGACGTAACGTCGAGATCATATTGCTCACCCAGGAATATAATCAGCTCCTCGAGAGTCTTGGATTTGTATTCCTTGCGGATAACCTCCTTTAATCCTTCCCATTGATCCGCAGGCTTACGGGCCGCTCGGGTTCTTGTCATGTCTGAATCAAAAGTGGTGCAAGTATGAGACGTCGTCGGTTCCCAAAAGTTGTTTCCCAGACCTTCAAGCGCGGCCATATATTCCGACGATGCCATTTTGTACGATTTTGTGGTCTTAAGCAAGCAAATGAGCTCTTTCTGAAAGAAACGCCTTGGAGCCTCCTCATACCTAGAAAGAAAAAAAGCCCAACAGACTTCGCCATGCTTGCCTTCTTGAGGCTGAATTTCATATAAGGCTCCCAGTCCGCGAACCAAGTACGTAGCCTTGGGTCCGAATTGTAATTTCATGGCTCCTCACTCCGTATGCGAAGTCCTTACACGATCCAATCACCGCTCAACCAGGGGTTAAAAGTGCAAGTTTCCCTGCACCGCCATTGGGTCAGCAACTAAGCTGGCGTTGTCATTCTGGGAGTTGAAATTTCACTTGGGTTTCAACAACACCATTACATCAAAATACCAAAAAGCCGAGGGGTCATGCATGCCGCTATATCTAGCCAAGAAAAGTGCAATTCCCATTGACAAAGTCTGGCCACCTGGGGAATGGCATGCTAGACCGGTCTACTCAGCCAAGTTCCAATATTGATACGTTTTTCATATAAAAGTAAGTCGCCAGGCTCAGGAAACCTCAGAGCGGGTCCTCGCCCCAGAAGTCAAATCAGACAACAAACGAGCCTTCTCAACTTGGATCTTTTGACTGCGCCTTTCTCTGTGTTACCAACTCAGCCACGGTATCAACAGCACTTGCTGTGCGTCCGTCCTTGCCAGCCAAATTCAACAGGTGGTCTTCAGAGAGAGAAGATGCTTCGAAGAGAAATGTCTTACTCCGAGCCCTCGGAGCCCGCAGCCGCAAACATGGGTCGAGCATCGGCACACGGGCGTCGGAGACCGACCCCACTCCGAGAACATCGAAGCCAACAGTCGGCGGCAACTTCATTTCATGCGGACTCGACGCATCCTCAATCACAATCGATGCAGCGACAAAGGGCAGTCTATAGCCCCAAAGAGAAGCTGATCTTCTGTACATACAATACGAAAAGAGAGGATGGTAGTAGCGACATGCTGCCAGGCCAAAGGGCGGAGATGAGCCTGACCAAATTAGAGAAGGCTGGCGACGAATACTTCAGAATCAGGAACAGAGTCCGAAACCCGATACGCGGTGAGCCGTTTCCATGTGGCTTCTTGCAATAATGGACGATGGCAGAGATATTGGGTTGATTAGGTGTACAATATGACTGGTGTGAAGAAAAAGTTGTTGTCGAAATTGTAGGATGCCGGATAGATAGATACCTGGGTAGCATGCTATTCCAATGAAGTCGTTTGCTTTGTCGCCACGCCTTGGGAAATTTTCACAAAGAGGCCGATCCATCGAGATGAATTGTGCTCGCTTGGTTGACCTGAACATGGTGCCTTGCTTCGTGGCAGCCAGTCGGTAATGGCCGTGCCGCAGCTCTTAGACGAGTTGATTCGCGGATGCTGTCATTAGGCGTGAGGGGGCAGGACACGAGAAGGGCCAGGTGATGCAGGTTGGAGTGTGCCCCGCAATTTAGCCCACAGGCCGGAGGGAAAGGTGCGGTGACGTGGGGATGTATCGGCCGGGTAGAAATACCTCCTGCTCGCGTCGGTGCAGATGTCGGACGGGGGTGGGCCCTCTAGAGACTGGAGCTCGACACCTGCCGCGTATGGTTCCGGAACTTTGCATTGAGGCCATTGCCAAGAATAGAGTGAGTGGCATGAGACGTGCAGTCGGCCGATGACTATTTATTTTCTCACGAGATAGAAGAATCCGGGAAATCGTTAGCAACAAAGAAATTATACGTCGGAATCAGGTGAGAAAGCGTTTTTGCCGATCATTTTGCGTAAAATAAAGCCTGTCCCGGCATAGCAGGGAGCGGTCTGTGACCGGCGGGTTTAGTTGGGTTTGGTGGTTTGCAAGGTGGTGTGCTGAGCTACCCGCCCACCATAGCTTCCGCCCCCTCGAACGGCGTACCGTTCCATTGGAGAATTGGATATTGTGCGGGTGGGTGTGCAGTCAGTCGCAACTTTCTAGGTGCGATGGAAGGGATGGGCAAAGACTGCATATGTATGAGGTCGAATTGAGAGTTGTTTGGAGAGAAGGAGGAAACGGCGCTCTAGGTGCGCAGGGTAATGTTTTCATCTGCTCCATCCGCCAGCAGCAAATCAGGCCAGGAAGGGAAGCTATGAGGTGATGATGATGAAGGTCCATGGATGGAAAACCAGGGTGCTCGTCTCTTGATGGGCCCCAACGACTTGGGTCCGTATAAAGAGTCGGCATGGGGCACCTTGTGGCTCGTAAAGTCTGTCTGTGGGAATGATGGATGGGGCGTATATTTCAGAATGCCAACTTGTCTTAAGAAATGAGATGTTGGCCTCTGGCTTAGTCAAAGTGGGAGACTGTGAGTAGTAAGCCTCAGGGCGGTCTGGTAGTGAGCTCGGTATCATGAGACCTAGTCGAGCAAGTGTGACTGTGTCTCGGCCTCGGTGACGGTTGACGGGCTCCAGCTCCGACTTCGACTAGTGACCAAACATACCTACGTGGAGGCGTTTGGAGATGGGTTGCGCAACAGGTTGCAAGGAGGCAAATGCGGGAGGAAATGTCTGAAGGTCGATGGAGAAATTGTGAAGCGGCAAAGAGTGGCTCCTTGGCATTTGGGATCGTTGTGGGGCAACCGGGTAGGAAGTCACTGGAGGTTAGGAGCTCTTGCCTCTAAGAATTGAAGTCGACGAGCTTCAGCGAGAAGTCGCGGCAAGTCGTCATACCTGTGCAAGGATGACCCAACCACGGATCGCCCCACCCCGCCCACATTGCCAGCCATTGGATCGGACTGAAGTCTGGAGGTGCAGCTGCAAGGTGCCAAGGTACCTCCACACTGCGGCGAGTGCGTGCGTGCGTGCGGGTGCTCCAGCTTCACCTCATCTCTTCCATTACTCCAAACGCCCCCTTTTTTGCCTGTTCTTCCTTCCTATGAACGAATGTCCTAGACAAGCGAAAAATCCCTCCAGTTTCAAGCTGGTGCCAGGAAGGAAGCGTAGGCGGGGTTTCCAAGACCAAAGCCTACCTCTTGGCTTCCTGACACAATGTGTGGCTTGTAGTGGTCGCCATTTTGGATTGAATCGACCGACCCTTCCCGCTAGCCTCAAGAGTGGCACATTTTTCACCACAGCTTGCTGCTGTGCCACCCCATCAAGGTAGGTACAAGAGCAGAAGATGGTGGATGGTCTCAAACCTTCACCAAGCTCAGAGTGCTAGCCAAATGAGCCTACTCTCGACTCCGGTCACGCTCGTCCAGGGCGGCATCGTCAGCTCTGACGACAGCGTCGCTACAAACGTCGTCTCCAACCCCGGACCCAAGGTGTGGCTGATGCGGTCCGGATACAGCAGGGAAGAGCATCGGCCAGACAGGGTTGACAGGTCCAGATCAGCCCGTCTGACTATCCATGCATTGGCTGGCATGGCTGCCGCTCGCAGGCTCCCTGTGTCATGTTGTTGAACCGCAAAACCGCAGGGGCGATCCCGATCCAAAGCGCTTCACGCCTGAGGCCACTTGCTGTTCTTACCCTATGCTTCTTGAATTCGTCTACGATACCTCAAGGTAGTGGGACAATACGGCTACCTGGTACATCGTCCTCCTGTCTCCAAAAAGGATCGTTGACCGAAGAGGTCTCTCATTGACTTGCGTGCTGCACGAGACAGCCAATCGGTAGTAGCATCCTCTAGGCGCCAGCCCGTAGCCTACTTGATCAAGCGAGGCGTCCAAACAAGTCCAAACAAGCACGCCCAAGCCATCCCATCTCATTTGCCCAGTGGCCCACGTATCCCGCCCCAGCCTGGAATCTGTACGGAGTAGTTACCTAAGGTACCTTAGGTATTGGGGTCCCGCAGTCGGGACCGGAACAGTACCTCCTCCCCATCCTCCTGCCTCCTGCCTCCTGCCTCATGCCTCCTGCCTCCATAGCCAGCCCTGGAGGACGAGGACCGCTGCAGCAAGGAAGGAACCTCTCTTCAGGTCTACCGTCTACATCCGCGTTAGTCGTTACACGCTAATGTGCTTGTGGCGAGCTGCTTTCCCCGCAGATTTAACGTCCCATCTACCAACCCCATGCTTCCTGCTTCCTGCGTCCCTCGCTTATAAGCCACCGCCGCCCTCCTCAACTCATACCTTTTTGCTACTTCCAAGCTTCTGCTGCCATCAACAACTTTTTGTGCAACACCAGAAGACTCGCAAATACCGCAGATTGCGTGGCCACTGAGGAATCAGTACCGGAAAACCATCATCCTTCAAGATGCCTACCGCAACAGAGCGCATTCACGCCCGTAAGCTACTGTCCATCCTCAGTGTATGCAACTATTCGTTTGTGCTGACATTTTCTCTAGTGAACCCCTTCTCCAAGAAGGAGTCTCATACTGCCGCTTCCATCACCACCTACAAGGTGTTGACTATTCTGAGTTGGCTCTTGGCTTTCGTCGTCACTCTCTACTACACGGTCAATGAGCCCCACGATGGCTTCACAATTCGGAAAAGAATTTGGGACCAGAACTACCTCTACCGCACTGCCTTCACTCTGAACTCCACAATCATCGACATATACTGGTAAATCCCGTCTCGTCCTTTCAGGTGTGTGGCCTTTCTAACATGGTCCAGGGTCGTTCTCTTCATCCTCCAAATCGGCTACGTCGGACACCTCTTCTCGAGCAACAGCGACTATGTCAACGCCGCCGCCAGCGTTGGATCGCACTTCATCTTCAACAACCTTCTGCACTTCGCCTTTGTCATGTTGTTCGTGCGCTCCCACTTCGGCTGGGCTGAGTTCATCCTGATCGTCAACTTTGCCAATCTGTCGTCCCTCTACTTCCGCCACAACACGTACCCTCGCTTCATCCACTGGCCTGTCGTTTCCGCTCCTCTGGCCTGGACGTTCGTGGCTATCTACTGGAACGGCGCCATCATGGTTCCCCACCCCCACAACCTGGTTGCTCGCATCTTTGGCAACATCTTTATCTGGTCCATTCTGGTTTACGGAGGTTTCTTCATCGTCACCTACAAGGTAAGAGCGAATTTGCGCCTAAGATGCTCCAA